TTTGAATTCAGACAGGATAATATTTTTTAAAGTACCCATTGAAATTGTAGTATTATATATGTGCATTCGTAAATGAAAGTTAATGACAGAATTGTGTTATTAAAACAGAAATGTAGCCATTTGCACACAATCCATTTCAAGAAAATGGTCATCAAATGCATATGTTTGAACTACAGGGTCTTATCAGTTGATTCTGATGTAATAATCCTGCTATTTTATTTTTAATTAGGCTTTAAATCTGCAATAAACCAAAACTTGAGTTATTTCAGACATTTTTTATTTGTACACATTTATGTAAATACTTTTTGTAGCACTTTTTTTAGACTTACCTAAAGGAGAATTCTGTTCCCACTTCCCCTCCCCAACACACACGTATCATTATTCAGACAGCTTAGTACATTCTGTTGATCCCTGTCAATAGTCAAAAGTACAGAATTTTGGAGTTACTGCATTTGAAATTCTTTGAAATCACTGAGGACTCCATTTTAAAATAATCCCAAGTCTTATTATTTTGCTTCATTTTTAATATCTTTTAGCGACAGCGATGAGGAAAAGAAAGCAAGAAGAGGCAGATCTCCCAAAGGTGAATTCAAAGATGAAGAGGAGACTGTGACGACAAAGCATATTCATATCACACAGGCCACAGAGACCACCACAACCAGACACAAGCGTACAGCAAATCCTTCCAAAACCATTGATCTTGGAGCAGCAGCACATTACACAGGGGACAAAGCAAGTCCAGATCAGAATCCTTCAACCCATACACCTCAGTCTTCAGTTAAGGTGGGAAGTGACAGGAGTTTACACATTATACGTGGTTTTATTTTTATAAACTACTTTTAGAATTCCTGCAGTTAGCAGGCTTGGGCATTTCTAGGCAATCATGTTAATTATAGATCATCTGACATGTATTACTCAGAGTCATTAATAATAAGAAATCTCTTTGGGGGAAGCAACATGTCCAATTGCTGAATGGTTGTCTATGCACTTTCTGTGAAAGTGGAAGTGACACTCTTAGTTCATTCAGGGAAGGTTGTGAATCAGAATGTAGTGCATCTGTTTCCTTCTAGAGACCACCACCGGTTACCAAGCACAAGTAGATTCACTAAGAAAAACATCGGAAGTATTTGCAAGTTTTAAGAAATGACAAAAGAAGGGACTGGAGATACAGAAAGGGAATGATCTCATTTAACATAGAGATGACGCCTCTAAAGGGAGGCGTATTTGCTTTGCAGTCATTGCTCATCAGTATCAGGAGCACTGCCTCTTACACATCTTTGTTTTTATTCACCACAGGAATGAAATCAGCCTTCTAGCTAGCCAGCCCAATGCTGGTCTTTTAGACTGAAATCTGCCGGAGAGGGAGATTTGCCCCAGAAGACTAAATTGTTATTTTTGTCACTTTTCCCCCACTACTGTTTACCTAATTGATGTCTTTGCAACAAAAGTAGCTGAAAGCTGGGAAAAAGTTTTCGAATATACCCAGCAAATTGTAGGTGACTCTAAGAATAAAGCTAGGCTCGCTTAGTGGCGATAAGTACTGTGTCACCTTTTGCCAAATATTAATACCTTCTGGACCGGTGTATAATTTCACCCATGTTGTGATTTTTTTTTTTTAAAGAGACAGGATCTCGCTCTGTTGCCCAGGCTGGAGTGCAGTGGCATGATCATAGCACTATATTCTCGAACTGCTATGCTCAGGCGATCCTACCACCTCAGCCTCCCTGGTAGCTAGTACTACAGGCGTGTACTACCACACCCAGCTAATTTTAAAAATTTTTGTAGAGGTGGGGTCTCACTGTTTTGCCCAAGCTGATCTCGAACTCCTGGGCTCAAGTGATCCTCCCACCTTGGCCTCTAGAGCACTGGGGTTACAGGCATGAGCTGCCACACTTGGTCATGATGTGAACTTTTTAGTTTTAATGAAAATCTCAAAATTGTAACTCAACTTTAGCTGTAGTTAAAGAGGAAAAATGGCTTTGTTATTTCTTTGTGGTCTTACGAATTTCCTCTCCTATAGATACAGTTAGCTTACTGGTGGCTGTATAGGGTCTGGTAGATAGTCATAGTAATTAAAACCCAAATACATGATGACTGTCATAGAGAACTCATTTAAGGTTGCATAAGGAAAATTATCCAAACTGTGTAATTTTTTTAAAAATAAGACTTCTATCTCATACCTTAAAGTATTTAAAATATCAATTTGTAGTATAGTTTGAATATATTTCACTCTGCCATAAAGATTTTATATTTGTAGTATAAACTTTTTATTTTTTATTATAAAAGAAGTATCTAGAAGGCTGACATTCTTGAAAAGATACCCAACTACTTTCGATCTCTTCCAGTTTAAAGGTTTTTTTGGACCACAGTGTAATATTTTAATCAAAGCTTAAGTTAACATGCCTAGGAACTTACAGCGTTTCCCTCTTGCCTAACAATTGAGTTCTAATTTAACATGTTTATGTATTGAACATATAGGACATAGGTGTCCAGGGGGCTTAGTACTATGGAGAAGACAAAAATAGTATTACAGGTACAGGCCCCACAGTTTAGTTTGGAAACTAAATATGAAATAATTAGATGTCAAAGTATATCAGACAACATAGAATTACACTAACTTGTAGTATACAAACAATAAGTATTCTAAAGTTCATGGAATTTTAGAGCTGGATAGGATCTTGGCCTCTAATCCAGTGGATCTCAATCCTTGAACTGACCTGGGAAGCTCTGTAAGATTTTAACAGGCCGAGGTCTCATCGTGGGCAATTATGACTCAATATATTATATGGGGCTGAGGCTTTTTTTTTTTTTTTAACTGCTAGGGCATTTTTTTCTTAAATAATTCTGATATATAGCATAAAGATTTGAGTGGGATCTGAGAGGTATGTTTTTAGAGTGGAATGCAGTACGAAAAGAAATGAGTTAGGAAAAAAGTGTGAATGTTAGGGATTTTTACACTGCAGGGAATACAATGACTTAAAAATGCTTACTGTCTCTCCATTCAAGGTCAGTACTCTTTTTTTCTTTTTCCCCAGAAAACCACATCTATCCTTATTAAGGTAATTATAGGTATTTGTGTCTAAATTAGGAATTAGAGATGGGTAGAGCTGATTTTAGAAAAAATGATAGGAATGTTTCTAAGCTTATTGGTTACATGTTTGTTTTCAGACTTCAGTGCCTAGCAGCAAGTCATCTGGTGACCTTGTTGATCTGTTTGATGGCACCAGCCAATCAACAGGTAGGCTTCCACATTGTTTTTTTCTTTTTAGTAACATGGTTTCATAGTCATTTTTAAAAATGTCAAATAAAAGATAAAATGAAAAATAAAACTATTTATTTATACTAGATTTATTTTTTATGTGAATTTAGTGAACCTTGCTTGAGCTTTAATTTGGGGAGAATTGTTTAATTGCCTAAAATTAGGGAGAAGAGTGCTTGATAATTTGATATTTGGTAATCTCTCTCTCTTCTTAATTTCTCTAGTACCTATGGCCTTTGCCACTCTTTGGGACTACTGTGTTGTTATTTTTGTTTATCTTTTTATATATGTAAGTTATCCCTTAAAAGGAATACACTGTTTTATACCTTTTTCTGAACCTCAGACTTGGGAAACCTTATGGTAGGCACTCAGTAAATATTGGGGAGGCCGGGCGTGGTGGCTCACGCCTGTAATCCTAGCTCTCTGGGAGGCTGAGGCCGGCGGATTGTTTGAGCTCAGGAGTTCGAAACTAGCCTGAGCAAGAGCGAGACCCCGTCTCTCCTGAAAAATAGAAAGAAATTAGTGGGACAACTAAAAATATATAGAAAAAATTAGCCTGTAGTCCCAGCTACTTGGGAGGCTGAGGCAGAAGGATTGCTTGAGCCCAGGAGTTTGAGGTTGCTGTGAGCTAGGATGATGCCATGGCACTCTAGCCTGGGCATCACAGTGAGACTCTGTCTCAAAAAAATAAAATAAATATTGGGGAGTAATAATAGATAGTATTCTCAAATCACTATAATACTTACATTTTAATGACTCCTTATTATCTGATGTAGAACTTCCTCCCTAATTAATAATAAGTGATATTTCAAGGTGTTGTATACTTTCTGAAATTTTTTGTGATCAAAGATTTTGGAGTCTGTAGTTCCCGTTTTTAATTTCTTAAGATTAACTTGGAGAAACAAAAAATTGCATTAAAACTACCTCCTTTGCTTTCTTTATAAGCAAAATGTACTGCCCTGCACATTTTACTGTCTTTCCCTAAATTTTAATTCTGGCTGTCAACATGGACATGCCTAGAGTTCATTTAACTTTTCATCCATTTATCCAACAAATATTTGTTGAACCAGGCACGGGTCCCAGTGCTTGTAAAACAACTCCTGCCCTCATGGAAAGGTCAAGTGGAGGAAGTAATCATTAATCAGAGTAAAAAATAGTTACCTACTTATTAGCATGGCGAGTGCTTTGGGCTTTCTTTGAAAGTGTGTAACTACTTAGCAAACATGTTTTAG